ATAGATAGATATATCCATCTCTCTCTCTCTCTCTCTCTCTCTCTCCCTCTCTCTCTCTCTCTCTCTCTCTCTCTCTCTGTGTGTGTGCGGCTCCTAACATTTGTTGTTGTCAGTCCGCCCTGCCATTGTCACAGATCCTGCTGATAAGGTTACGGGTTTCGGTTTTGGTTTGGCCATTGACTGAGGGGTCGTGATTCAGCCATCTTGTCTTGCTGTGAGTTCTTCCGGACAACATCCATTGACTTTGTCGAGGGCGCAACCGAGATCATCCGAGATCTCTCAACGGCCACCGTCCGGCTAACCATAGTGGGGAAAAGAATAACAAGAGAAAAACACACTAGACTAATCACTAAAATAAGCTCAAGTCGAAATAGTACTGTAGGCATAATAAGAGTGTTAACAGTGTTGCTGCCATGATAGTTGTAGGAAGTCGTCTCATCAGCTGCATGTTACGTGAGAGCCTCCACTTCCGTCACTGAGTGGTTCCAGGCTTGGAAGTACGCCTGCTGCATGGATTCGACAACTTGGGCGTTCTGTCAGGATATGAAAGTCACGGCAGCGTGGTGGGTTTTGCTATGTAAGGGATCTTAGGAATCTAGGATAACTGATTTGCTCGAAGAATGAATGATGAGCTGTAGGCTTTTGGGAGTTTCCGTACTATTGGAGCATTTCCAATTATTCAGCTTCGTTAACATCAAAGTCTCGAGAAGGGCTCTGCGGTCTGAGGATTTCTCATTTCTGGGAGAAAGGGTCCTCTTAGGATGCTACCTACCATTTTCGCTCAAGGTTTCCGAGGTCTTTCTAGGACTCCATGGCTTGAATCATGCTTGAAGGGTATGGAGAGAAGGCCCTGGGTCTAAGTAAGCGCCTAATCAGGGGCTTTCTTTATCAGCCTTTGCCGCAGTGTGGACTCTTGCTTCGAGAAGGGGTCCTTGTGCTTCAGCAGCTATGGCTGTGATTGACTAGAGGTTACACTAGTTATCGGTTTGGCTTTTTGGGCTGCGTTGGGTCGTTATGCGAAGTGTCAATGAGCGCGACACTCTGTGATCTTGCATGTAATCTCCCACGAACATGTAAATAAGTTATACACAGTCTACGACATCTTGTAATATGGTACGCCGATTATCTAGCAGCCCTCAAGCACTCCGTGGCTCTTCAATCTATAAAAGCGCCGTGGGTGATGACCCGATCCTTGCTTCGATTGGGCAACGTAAGAGCCATGGCTATGTCAACTCCAAGGAGATTTGAATTTTCCTGTGGGTTTGGGGTCTAAGGCTTGCAGAGTCAGGGCTTCGGGTTTAGGGGGTTTACGGCTTCTTCGGGCTTCACTGTCCTTTGAGGTTCATGGTCACGGGGACTGCGGGTTTGTGGCTGTGGAGAGGGCTCTGGGATGTTTCTAAGCCGATTCCCTCGAAGCCAGAATTCCGTGCATACGGGAGGTAAATGGGGGTTTCCCAAAATAGGGGACCCTAATTTTGTAATTACCTTGCATAGTAGGATCCTTATTGTAAGGACCCCAAAACAAGGAACCCCCCAATTTTCGGAAAGTCCCAAATGTCATTGCGAAAGGTTGGCAAGCAGGGCAGCCGGTGCCTTGAAGGACTCTTAGACCCTGGCAGGGAGGGGTGGTACCAGACCCAAAATGGGCCTGTCTGGACTTTGAGGATGCTACTGTTGATGATATAAATCCTGCATTACCTCAAGGACCCTAAACTATGGTAATTATGGTATCTTCCTTATTATGGGTAACGCAGGATTTAAATCATCAACCGTATATTGCTTGCCAGCTATGCCAAGGGATCATTTCAGCAGGGTCCTGTGAGAACCGGGGGCTCTACAAGAAGATAACTCGCCTACAAGAAGATAACTCGCAACACCATGGTGCGAAAGCTCCAAACTCAAAACAGCTCCTCCGAACCCACACTCAAGCGAACACGCCAACAATTCTACGACTCACGACTCCTGATTCCCCCTATTCCCCTATCCCTCACTTCCCCGCCAACGGAACGACTCAAGAGGCTCCACCCCGATGCCGCTTTTTGACGACCCTGACGCCAAATACACGTCGGCACAAGTGAAACAGGGGGGTTGTCATTGCATCTGTCGGATGGACCGAAGGATGCCAAGAAAGTAGCAGTAGCAGTAGCAGTAGCAGTAGTAGTAGTAGTAGTAGTAGCAGTAGTAGTAGGGGGGTAGCTGCTTTTGACAGCTTTCCGGGTTTTAGGGTCCGGTCTTCTAGGGTTTTCGGGTTCATAGCGCTTTTCAAGTTCCGGGCATAAATGGAACTGCTGTTCGGCATCCATGGTTTTACATGACTCGCTGCATGGGGATTAATCAACAAGTAGATCGCTAGTTATCCTGAACCCAAGCTTGTTTAAAAGCCCTAAGCCGAAGCCCGGCTTCGGACTGGGTGTTGGGATCTCCGCATATCTCACAGGTTTAGGGCTGCATGGAGTCACACAGTAAAGGCGATTCTAGGCCACGACAAGACAACCGTAAAGCCTTGGCATTGACTTTTGAAGTAATTTGCTTGGGCCAGCTTGGGGTTAGATGTATCTGAGGCTTCAGCAAAGCCCACAACTATCTCTGTGAACCCCACACGTGTGAAAGGAGAGGTAACAAGCACCGCAACCATCACGAATCACAACAGGCATCACCATCATCTTCAGCGTCCCCGCCATCGTCATCATCAGCTTGCTGCTCGACACTTTGCTCGACAGCCTAAGCATAACAACACTCCTACGGGTCGCTTCGCAAAGCTCAGATGTCAAACAACAAAACCCAAAGCCGGATGATGAAGCTCAGCTTCTCCAATCCCCGGAGACCACGTGTCTTTCGTGAACCCGTCTTCGGCCATCCGGCCAGAGGCCCGGAACTTCGGAAGATCTGTGAAGTAGGGTTTCTTCGCCCTATTTGCTTAAAGCTTTTGTGACACAAACCCTACTTCATGTGGCATCTTCGGACGGCTGCTTAAAGTGGTGCTTCCCCTCGCCGGTTTCCGGTGCATCGGTTAAAGATTAAACAAAGATAGGGAATAAGAGCAAGCCATTCATGAAGTTGGGCGAATGTGTTCGTGTAAATACATAAATACATACGGGTAGAGGCAGGTCCACACTATCGTTTCGCGCTTGCGTCTACCCATAGACGCCGCCCCGCATCCACATATTCACATACAGACGCACGTACATGCATACATACTTACATATGTGTGTATGAATATTGTGTATACATATATATCTACATATATATATACATACATATACCTACATATGTATACAGATATATCAATATAGATATACATAGACAAGAATCACACCCATACCTATATCCATATGCTCATACATCTACATCTGTCGGTAGACGGGTTCGGGATGTTCTGAGGCCTTGGGATACCGGAAGCTTTACAGAGTTGCGGGTTTCCTGCCGGTGCTGGTGGAGACCCCAAGTTTTTCCTACGAGACTCTCTATGGGCATGAGGATGGGAGTTGGGTGGTGCCTTCGGGTGCAGTTTGCGTTTCTGGTCTCGGGGGCTATCGCATGGCTTGTTAAAAAATCCCGACAACCTCATACCCTAAAAAGCAGTGTAAGCTAGGCCTTGAGTGAGATTTCAGGGGCTTTTTTTGGGGAACTTCTTGCGAGAGAAAGCGCTCCTGCAGCCACCGAAGCGGAAACCAAAAACTTGAGGAGCTCTTAGTCGAATCGCTACGCCACGCTCGAGTCTAGGGGCCTTCAACAAATTGAAGACGCTTTTACTGTACCTCCTTTATTCGGGCCTTAAGAGTTTGGGTTGGGCTTCTTATAGGATTTTATCATAGCTTTTCAGGCAGTCTTTTTAGGGATTCGGTGGGGCACAAGCTGAACACTCGGACGTAGCACGCATAGCTGGACCGTCGGTGCAGTGTGCTATGACGTGTCTGTCTGTCCGCATGTCGAAAGGCATGCCACTCAGAGTTGTAACTGAGCACGTCTTCAAGGGCTGCTACCTGGAGAGGAGAACAACAAGTTTGGGGTTTTACGGGATTGGGAAAGCACGACAATTAAGTTACCAGTGACCATAAGTGGGAACGTTACCAGGAGACCCAAGACATACGGAAACATGCAGCCTCAACAAATGAGCCCTCAACCAACACCTGAGATGGCAAAGATATCCTCCATCGCCCAAGATCGCTGAAAATAATGATAATCATAACAATAATAGAAATAATAGGAATTATAATAACAATAGTAATAAAAATAATAATGACAATAATAATAATAATAAACGTATTCGCTCCCAATGCCCTTGACTCTCCATTTAGACCTAAGTCCCAGGCCCAGAGAAGCAGGACCCCAAACCCAAAACGACGCAATTGCCATGACCTTTGACATTTTAGGGTGCCTGAAAGGCCCATTCCAACGAAAAACCATTAAATCCTTAGGGTTTCAGGTTTAGGGTCTTAAGCCATATGACTTGAAGTAGTACCCTTGCCCTCCATCTACCGGCTAGCCCTAAACGCCCATTCCAACAGCTCTAATCTATAGGTGGGCATTATCACCTTTTGCTCCTTTACATATAACGTTTATAGTATGGCATACAGTCGAAAACCAAGTACTCTCATGATCAGGGCTCCTATCTCCCAGAACCCGTATCCTAAACCCAAAACCCTAAACCCAAAACCCCAAACCCTGAAACCCAAAAAACCCAAAACCTATATATATATATATAAAATATATATGTATATGTATATGTATATTTATATGTAAGCCTCTAAGGCAAAACCTGACCTGTGGAGCCAGGTCACAGCCCGTCTGCCCCTGGAGGGCCGTACAGCTCGGGATCCAAGTCCTGATGCTCTTTTCTTGGGGCTTACTTTGGGCAAGGAGCCGGTTTTTTCGGTTTTGAAAGTTGTTCTTTTTTGGGGGGGGCTTAGGAAGTTTAGGGCTTCGGGCTTTGAGAACAGAAAGGAGCCGGTCTGTAGGTTTTGCATTTTGTTTTGAGGCCTGCTTCCAACCCGTGCGAATCATACATCTTGTGCCAGAGCCAGCGGCCTATCGCAGCAAGGTTGCTGCTCACGAACTTGCCAATTAAATTACCGTGAGAAACACAACTCTTTGTGGCATCGTCCTGAAACGTTGGCTCGAAGTCCAAGAATTCCACCGAAACCATAAAGGATCGTAGGTAGCCCCGTATATGACCCGTTCACCAAGGCGACACTGCCCTCGCGGCCCTGCCTCGTCACTGCTGTCATCGAGCTCATCGGAGGAGCCTCTTTGCGTAAGGAAGGGGATTTTTGCACCAACCCACCGCCCGTGAAGAAGCACCTGCTCGAGATTCCGAGCAGTGCCCCGAATGACCCCGACGACCCCAAGGAAAGTCGTTGGTGCTGCGTGAAAGTGAAGGAGATTCCAATGGATCCCAGGGTGCTGGAGGAGTAGAGTTGTGCATTGAATTAAAGGACAGGTGGGGAGTTTAGGGTATAGAGGGCTTCCATAAGGCTTCTATAAGGTACATAGACCTTCTATGAGGCTCCTATAACGGTAACTACACACCTGAAAATGTCCTAGATTGAAGGAGGCGGCAATGGGCTTCTAATCCTGCTTGGTCCTAGACGATATAACAAGTCCTCCCGGCGCGATGACATAAACACTAAATCTAAAACCCTCACTAGTCTAGTACTACCGATACTTGTGCAATTCTTGCCAGTTCTTGCTGTTATTGAGAATTCTAGTATCACTTCGGCCCGATGCCTTTACCTTTTCAATGCTATCGTTCTTGTGCGCAGCTCGTGGCATCCGAGCGCGTCAGTTGCAAATATCAGAAGACCCGGAACTCGAAAAGCACTGAGCCCTGTCGTCCCGGAGCAATCATAAGAGGAAGCCGGACACTGTGCCGCAGCGCCGAAAGCACGCCGCCCGCACTTCAGAATCTGCACTGTTCCTGGAAGCCCTTGCTTGAAAAAAAACGCAAACAGCGGTCTTCTAGGCTGCAAAAACTACTAGGTCAAACATCGAGCCGTTCATAATACTAAGCAGTAAGGATTATCTTCGAGACCGGCCCCAGGCAACACGAAACGGTCTTTTGGTCAGAGCTTGGGATTTGGGCTTCGGGTGAGTTCGGGGTTTGTCTTGCTCCCACAGTCCCAGCATTCTGAGCCTATTTAGACCCCCCAAATTTGCAAACCCCGAGCCGCTCTAGAACACCGCCAAGCCCTCAACCCTAACACCCGCAACGTAAACCCCGGAACCCTAAACCCCAAAACGTGCAACCCAAAACGGCGACTGTGTGCATCCTCCGCCGTCAGTCTGCGGAAGAAGGCGGTAGAGCAGCAACGAAATAAACTTCGCGTCGTTGTGCACGAGCTCCGTGTGGTCGGGGAGAGGGACGACGCCGTCAGTGAACAGGGGCACAAACTCCGGCGTCAACTGAATGTTCAGAGCAATTCGGGTGCCGTGTGAGCATCATTGTCAGCCCCGTCTTGGGTACAGTCTCACGGCCAGCTATGGAAAAATGTTTACACGATCCGAAACAACCGACAAAACCAGACAAACACCCAACTGACAAAAGCTTCGACCCTTTACGAACACCACGATTCAATGAGGGCATGCTCCTGAAACCAAGAAGTATAGGAAGCTTGCGGAAGCTTGAAAATATTCTTAAAGATCCTGGGCCTGAAACCATCCTATGCAATCCCTACCAGAACCCTCCTACCCTTTCTAAGACCCTGAAACCCAGAAACGGCTCTCGGCGCCGAGCTCTTTTGCCACGAGACTCTCCAGGGGGTCGAGCGGATGTTCAGGACCACCTGCTACTTCCCCAAGATCAAAACGGTGCTCAACAGGGGGAGTCCATGTTGGGCTTTTGGGGCTTCTAGGGGGAGTTCCCGGATGGCTTCGAAGCGGGAGTCTGTGGGGCTTCGAAGGGCGTCGGAATTTTTCCCTTCGAGCCTTGGGATGTATGGGCTTCGAGCCTCAGGTTCGGGGTCCTACATCCGGGAGCCCCGGGTCGGCAGAAGGATAGATCCTACACCGCAGCCGAGGCCATCAGTGGCCCAAAACGGCCAAGTATGATGAGACAAGGCAACGGTCTCCAAACCCTGAAATGAAAGCCCTAAACCTCCCAAAGGCTAAACCCACAAAGCCCCAACTCTTGAACCCAAAAAGCCCTCAACGTAACCCGCTTAAGAACCCCAAACTCCTAACCCTAAAACTCCTCTTAAACGCCCCAAAAAGCGACTGAAGCCCTGAACGCCCAGAACTTCGAGTCGCCTCAAAGCGATCGGAGGCTCTGCGGCGCGCCGAGGTCTCCTCCTCGACGACCTCGTCCTCGTTCAGGGCGGGGGGAGCTTTTGAAGGTTTGTGTATACGATACCCATTACCCAGACCCGTATGGAAGCTGCCCCTGATGCAACAACCCCCGTGACCTTGTCCATGCGCCAGGCCGGGTAGGCCCGCGTGCCCGCACCTGCGCAAACTTTACAGCCAAGCGGGGCTTCTTATAATGTTACAAGTAAAAAGCGAATAAATACATAGATAGATAAATACTTAAAACTATATGTGTTTGTATAATATACGTATAAATATAAATATATACACACACACACATATATATATATACATATATATATATACATATATATATATATATATGGACTATCGGGTTTTGGGGCATCTTCCAGAATACTGCTAGTTGGGGTTATTACAGTTCGAGCAAGCTCTGGATCGAATGATACGGTCTTAGGAATGAGGATGAATGGGGTCTCGGGGCATTCTAGAGTATACTTTTCCATCCTAAACCCTAAACCCTAAGCCCTAAACCGTATGCCAGCCTCGAACCTTCAATTCAATGACTCTAGATTTGGGGTTGTAGCATGATGCTGTCATGAACTGGAAAGGCTCGGCGATGCTTTCCCCCCTTTGCAACCCTGTCGTCTCTCGGGGCGCTTCGTATCCCCTCCTAGTCCTACTATATAACGATACGATACCATAATATCAATATCTCCTTCAAAGCCGTAGTCCAATTCTGAAGGCAACCCTGTAGCCGAAGCATTGGTGGAGATGGTGGCGATGGAGATTCTGGCGAAGCTGATGCTGAGGACGGCGGCGAGTGTTTGACGTTAGTCTTCGAAACCACCACCGGGATCGTGGTTTGCTACTAGAACCTCCAAGACTCTACCTAAACCCTAAACTCTGCGTCCTCTACCCTTAACCCCACATCCCTGGCAGTGCGAAGTCCAAAGTCATTGCTTTTGCCTCTGCTGGCGGCGGTGTTCTCCAGGCCCGCCTTGCTTGCGACTTCGAGTGCTTCGTTCTGGAGCTTTTGGCGCAAGCTTTCAGAAACTTGATAAGTTCGAGCCACAGGGTATCGGCTGTAGCTGGAGGTTTGGAGTTACATGGCAGTGCGGGGATGCTTGAGCTCCAAATGCATAGTAGTATCGATCAGCTGCTGAGTTCTTCGCACTCTACATTCCGGAAAAGGTCCGACAAAAGGTTAACCTTGGATTCAGGTCGGATTCTCCATGCCCCAGATGACTGCTTGTCTTTTCACCATTCTGATGTTTGCAACTCGCGTTGCTACCACCGTCATCATGGGCAGCAGCAAAGCTTTCAGCACAATCGCCATCACCATCCGCAACATCGTCAACAATCCTGAAGAACTCCATCTCCACATTGTGGGCAACTCAGCAGCCCGCCTCATGCACGCTTGGGTGAAGGATGCTGTTCCTCGGCAGGTGCACTGACGGTTTCTTGTTTCGTATAACATCCACCCTCTAGGAAATACGCCCAATTTATGGGGAGGAAGCTCTCCAAGGAAACCGACCCTGAGCCATAAACCCTAGACACCGAAACCCCAAAGCCCTGAACCTTAAACCTTAAAAGCCCCAGGCTTAAAACCTTCAGCGTCCAAACACCAGACCTACCTTCGTTAAAGGAAACTACAGGTTCAGAGTTTAGGGTATATAGGGCTTCTACAAGGCTTCTATAAAGCATATAGACCTTCTATAAGGCTCCTATAACGGTAACTACCCACCTGAGAATGTCCTAGACTTCGCCGGCCGAGACAGATCCCGAGCTAACAGGCCCCCCTCGAAACCCAAGAGCATCCTGCAGAAATGCGCGCAGTCAGCGCGAGCTTTTTGCAGGCTTTGGCTTGTAGCAGCCCTTTCCTTTCCCTAAACCCTACACCCTACACCCTAAACCCTAAACCCTTTCCTTGTAGTCACCCTCCCTTGGACGGGAACCCTTAAACCCTAAGCCCGGATATTTGGGAGGAATCCTTGGAGGAAGGTTCCTACTCTTTTGTTACACCCCAGGCTCCCCAGAAGAGAAAAACCCCCGGACCTCGCCACGACCCCTTCAAGGGTTTAGGAGATTAGAAGATTATATAGGGTTTAGGGTTTCGGGCTTTGTTGAGGGGCTTTGGGTTGAACGCTCCGCTGACGGGTTCAGGGTTTCGGAAAGAAACTCTGAGACCGCTAAGGTTGTAATAGCACGGCGGATGGGGTACATTGAACTTCCGAGCCCTCGGTCACCCTAAACCCCTTGCAAGATTTTGGGATTGGATGTTTGGGGCTGCAGAAACAAGCAATCGCAGACCCTCAACCGGCAGCGAACCAATAAACCCCAAACCCCTAAACCCTAAACTCCAAACCCCTAAACCCCAAAATCCCAAACCCCTAAACCCCTAAACCCCAAACCCTAAACCCCTAAACCCCAAACCCGATCGATAAATCCCCTTCCCCCAAGAAGAAGGAAGATCAAGCCTGAAGTCGAGGCTCTCTCAGGAGAGCAGTTTCCACAATTAAGTAGGAGTCTACATATGAGGGTTTCCGAACATCGGGGGGAGCCTAATAGAGTACCCTAAATCGTAGGATCCTTAAATATTCCATGGACCCCCAAACATAATGCACCCCTTCTCTTCGGAAACTCCCACATGACTAGAAACGACATATGAGCAGCTTTCTAAATGAGGGTCCCTGATTAGGTACCCAATATAGTACGGCACCCTTATATAAAAAGGACCCCCCAAAAAGGGACCCTAATTTAGAGAAGTACCCATATGAGGCGAGGTGCCAGTCCCCATTCGACAAGATCTGGAACAAGTCGCCGCCTGACCCGAGTTGACGTGTTTAGGGTTTAGGGTTTCAGGTTTAGGGTTTTGGGTTTGAATCTCCCTTTCTTCCTAAGGTTCTTCAAGGTTTTATTGTTTCTTTACGGTTCTATATTATGGGGGTTTCTGGGAGGTGGGGGGGGGAGAGACTTCGAGGGGCCTCAAGGTTCTATATACATGTATGTGTATGCATATGCATATACATGTATGTGAGGTGCAGCTTGCGCGATTTTCGGATTTTGGAAGGGCCGGGATAGAATGAGGGTACCCTTTCGACTCGAACTTTAGGTTTCTTATCTGGGTTTTTTGACCTTTCAAACCTGTACATAGCCCCTAAACCTGAACCTCTGAACCTCAAAAATTTCACGACCCCCAGCGCTGACCCCAAGCCCTTGATGAGCGGCAGTACGTGACATGCGCGCGTCCAGGCGAAGCAAGGAAATCATCTAGGAGGCGGCGTATGTCTGTGCGTCAGGGACAAAGGCATGCACCGCGAGATGAAGTCTAGGCTCAGAACCTGTAGACTAAGTTAGCAGTAGAGACAGACAACATGCCTGCATTTTGTTGTCCTTATCATGGTACCTTAACCAAGTTAACTTACTTAGCACGAGAGCAAATCAAACTTCCTATATAACCTTAAGTAAATCCTTGAAGTTCCTCAACAAAAGCACATGCCTCGCAGCGCACGGGGTGCACGCCCCACATAGCTTTGGCGCAGACCATCGAAGCCTCATCCCAAGATCTAGTTGTTGATGTAGACCCGAGAAGCCCCATTTAGGGTTCTGGAAAGGGTTGCAAACGCGACGCAAATAGCTCTTATCCCGTGGAAGTTTAACCCAAGCCGGTTGTTCAGCCCTTAGGGAAACAGAGTGCGGTAGAGGACATCACGGGAGCCCACTGTATTCCATACCTGTTCGGTTGAAGCAGGCCTCAAGTTCGACAAACGAACTAGAGCTGAAGGGACACAGCAAGGGCACTACATTTGCTGACTGCCCAGAGTTCAACTACCTATATGGAGCTTCCGAAAATAAGGGGTTCCTTATTTTGGGGTCCTTAGAATAAGGATCCTACTATTCAGGGTACTATATTAGGGTCCCCCTATTTTCGGAAACCCCCATATGTAACTCTTGAACCACCATCGTTGAGCTCCTAGCTTTGCGAGCATTCAGATCTCTGGCTGGGTGCTCTCTAGTTGGCAGCTGCCACCGGTCAACACCTGTGGGGTGAATCTAAATGTCTGGAGCGCGGCCTCTTCCAAGAATATGGACCTGGGAAGATCAGCAAAAGCTGTAGTTCAATCCCGTCATGCATCTTAACGTCCCTGCGCGAAAGCAGAAGATATGATTCTGCAAAACCCGAGCCACAAGCCATGAAACATCAACTCCGCAACCCTGCAAGCAGTTGCAAGTCGTATGTATGGGCTTAAACCCTAAACCCTAAAAACCTAAACGGGCTTAATGGGCTTTTGATTTGCTGTGTTGGTGCACGGCTGCACATCCAAAAAGCCTGACCTAAGTCATGGACGCATCTTTGTCCGCCGCAGCCAACAGTCCTTGTGGGCGGGTTTAGGGCTTAGGGTTTCGGGTTTATTAGGGTTCAGGGTTTGTTAGGGTTTAGGGTTTATTAGGGTTTAGGGTTTAGAGGTTGGATCAAACAGCGCTCACGGCAGAACACACTGGGATGTGGGCTTGGTATTTCGGCCTTAAGCAGCTGTCCACATACTTACTTACCGGTCTGTTACCAAACCAAATCCCAAATCCAAGACCGTGCGCCCCAGGGCCTAGAACGTATTCTCCGAGCACCAAACCCTCGGTTCCATTCCTGCTGCCTAACTCCAAGCCCAATGCCCAAACCCAACTTTAGTACAAGGCACCCCTGCAATTTATGTCAGAGTCTTTTGGCGGTCTCATCTCGCCTTTATGGTATCCTCAACCTAAACCCTAAACCCGAAACCCTAAAGCGTTGAGAAAGAGGGGGAACACTCAGAAACCGACTGCAAGCTTCAAGGCCGAGGCCAGGAATCGCCACCCAATGGAACCCGAAGCCCTCAACTCATTTCCGTGGCAGACGGGCCTTAAATTCTTGGAGTAGGATGTGGGGTAGAATATGCAATGCTAGTATTCATTACAGAATATTCAGACCCGTACATCATTTTTGCTCCTAGTGTCCTGCAACAGGGACCCTGCGAAGGCTCATCGCTTTGAGCGCTCCCGAAACACCGCAAAGCCGGAAACCCCTACTTGGAGGTTAATGGGTAGTTATAAGTGGAGTTATAAGGCCCCCAATTTTGGGGTTATAACTATAGTTATCCTACTTATAACCCTGCTTATAACTACCCATGAACCTCCAAGTATCCAGCACCTGAACCCAGACACGCACTCGAACTTAGAATACACATCCTGATTGTGGTTTAGGAAAGCAGATTGCGAGACCCTGAGGTACATGGACAGCCTCATCAGGACCCTGGTTCTAGGACCTCCACCTCACGCCGCCCGAGCTGCCTAGCACCCCAAGAAGCTTAGAAGCCTCAACCCTTCAACCCTTAAACCCAGTAAATTAGCTAGCCCCTCAGCCCTAAACCTTTCATGCCCTTAAGACCCGAAACACCTGCACAAACGAGCACACATGCATATGTATGTTTATGTATGTGTATACATATATATATATATATAAGTATGTATGCAGATATGTATGTGTATTATGTGTATGAACACATGACTAGATATTGCCATGGGATCACTATGACCCCTCCAACAAAAAGAGATCCTAAACATCTTAAACACCTGAACTCTAAACCCACAAACCCCCCCAACCCTATAAACCCTATAAACCCTAAACCCGAAACCCTAAATCCTGAACCCACAAACCCTAAACCCGAGCTAACTGCAAGCAGCGGTTCCCAGCTACCCACGAGGAAGAAGCTCGGCCGCGCATTCTCGAAGAGCTCCTCGTATGCGGGGAGGGGGGGTCTCTTTTTTAAGGGTTGGGTTTGGGGGTGTGTAGGGGGGATTTAGGGGGGTTTAGGGGTTTGGGGCAAAGGGCTTAAGACTCCGGGTTTTGGGGGCTTAGGCTTAGGGCTTCAGGGGTTAAGGGCCGTAAACCCTAAAGCTTTAGGGCTTTAGGCTTTAACGGCTTGGGAAAGTTGGGAGTTCAGGATTAGAGGGTGGCTTTCTGTCTTGCGGCAGCGTGGAATCACGGAGCAAAACGAGACCTCGTGAAGCAGAACGAACGCTTTTTGAGTTTTCGGCAGATTTTCTTTCCAGGGTATTCCAGGGTGTAGTAGGACCCTGAGCCCCAAACCCTGAACCCTAGATGAGACAGCCGAAGCCCTGAACCCGTAGACCGAACAAGCCCTTTAGGCTGTAGGGCAGGGATCCAAGTTTTCGCTTCAGATTGCTAGGGTGTTGAAATGTTTCCGTTTCTATAAATGTTTATGGGGTTTGCGCAGTCCTCCATGGTTTCCAGAGGGCTTATGGGGTTGTATACGGTCTTTTCAGGGTTTGGGAAGCGCCCAAAAGACCACAGAACCGCACAGTATCAAAATCAAGGCTTCGAGCCGCCCTGTTACGCTGGAGAGAAGATCCTGATGTTTATGGATGTTCACTGGGTCTCTTGGGTCTTGTTTTTGCGCTGCAAAGACTGGGGCCCCACAAGCAGTTCCTAGAAAGGTAGGACACCCTTACCATGAAGATCCCCACATCCTAGCTCCAAGACATATATGAACCCTTCTGACACCCTGTGAGCCAGCGCTCCTGCTGGGATAGCTCTTGCCTGCCTACACTGCGCCAGGACACCTGCCACAAGAAAGGAACCCCCGTTTCTCAGGCTTTATGAAGGCTTTGTCGAAAGTTGAGGGGTTCCGGATTTTGGTGTTAAGGGCTCCAGCTTAACCCAGTTCCAAGCCTTTCACCCATTTCGCGTGCTATCATAGTTCTTACCAGCGGCTGCCGACAGGGACCGAAGCTTCCCCCTGCGAAAGAAAGCAACATAGGGGCCTGATTTATTGGCTTACAGTTTTTGGGTGGTGCTGGTGGTGCCCCCCTTTACTTTCAGGCCTTCATCTTGCTCACGGCTGGTCGTGCTTTCCGCTCGTCCTCGCGCGCTGCCAAGGCTGCCTGGCATACAGCTGCACCCGAGCAACGAAGTCAGGGCTTTTCATACTTTAGCTGTCCCACTTTACACGGATCCTCCCAGCAAGGATCCTACTATGCAGGGTTTCTCCATGGAGGCCCATTGCCTGCTGAAGCTCTTATGCAGGTTTCCAGACTATCATTTTCATGTAGGCGTGTGTAGTCTATGCCTTGGATTTGCTGTATGTGGCGTTTAGGGATAAGGAGTTGGGGTTCAGGGTTCGGGGTCCAGAGTTTGGGTTTTAAAGGGTAATTGACCTCGGAATAGGCAGCTGTGTTTTGGCCGCAACCGCGAGGCACCCGAAACCGAAAGTAGACTCTGCAAGTGCTAGAATCCTACCTCAGAGAAATTGTCACCGCAACAACACTTCAACTCAACAACAAACGAGGTTGACCCCAGCACACCCAAGTCCTTGATTTACGGGTGCAAAGCCGCTCCCCGGCCATCTTGGCCAGTGTGGACAGCCTCGTGACAGCATCGGAATAGCAGTCTCCATCTCGTCGAGGAGGGCTGTAGATGGGTGTACCCATAGGCCCCTAAGTAGTTCCTTTTTGGGATTACCTGATAGGATTCTAAATATAAACCATAAAAAGGAACTACTGAGGGGCCTATGGGTAAGCAGCCTTTCTTATGCGCCCGCGCTCTCACGGAGAACCTCACATCAACCTCTGAGAGAGAGGACAGATGTCGCTGGAGAATCTGCAAGATGTCGCGCTTGGTAAACCAAAATGGCGCGAGCCCCTGCAACCAGGGCAACACCTGGCGGAGTTCTTCGAAGGGTTGGCCTAAGGTGTAGGGCTGACGCTTTAAGGATCCATAGGGGCCTCAATCGTGGAAAACTAGTATCGAGTATGTTACATGAAAGCCAAAATGCGGAGCCACACCAATCATGTGGGCAATTCTTCAGGCTTCCGTGTTACTTTACAGACCCGAAAAAATGCACTCGGGTTCTCAAGCTCAAAACCTTCAGCCTAGGTTCCCCAGCGTTGCAATGACCGCGAGTGTCTCATCATACACAGAAAGACCTCCCCCCAACAACAAGGGACTTTAGGTGATACTTACTAGTTACTTACTGGAACACCCTTGAACATGACCTCCGTGGAAACCACTGAGGTGACCTCTGGCCACAGCTCGAGATCTATGAAGAACACATTCCGTGACGCCATGACCTGCGTTGGAACTTGGGGCTTCATCGAAAGGCCTTGGAGGGATTGGCCGCAGCCTCATGCCGGTTTGCGTTGGCCTCAGTCATGTTCGTGCTCCTAAGATTGATTTGTTCACTCGTGCAGGTGTCTCAACAAGTAGTAGTATTCCTCCGCAGGTACTACCACCACTACTACTACTACT